AAATTTGAATGTGAAAAATCAAAAGCAAGAATCCGCTGTTACAACTGCCACCAACTTGGCCATCGGGCTTTTGAATGCCCTCGTAAGACGATTAATCCGCAAGCTAAGAAAAGAAAGACTACTCCCGCTCCCGTAATCGCCGAATCTATTCATGCGGCCAGTACTGAAACCGCATCACCTAGTAAACCAATTGAAGCTGAGAGCCTTCAGGATGAATCAGATATCGATATCGTCAGTGACGCCGACGAAGATATTGATGACATGGAAGTTGAACAATTAGTCGCAGAGAAAGATATACCTCTGGATGAATTAATGATCGCATATAAACGGAAATTGTTTGACGAAGCTCAACTTGAACATCAAATGGAGAACAACGGGTTAGCCGTGGAAGACTTATCAACCGAAGATGCAAATGCACTGCGCAGGCTTCATGATGATCTAACTGTTTTAGTAAAGGAAATTAATAGACGTCAAGATGACGCCTCTGCCGAAGAGGCTCATCAATAATACATTACCCTAAACAATATATATATAATGACAAAACATATCTCTTGTCACTACGCTTCACTGAATGCCAACGGCTTGGTGAAGACCATCACATCCTCAACTTCCACTTCAACCCATAACTATCTACGATATCTTAAACTTCAAAAATTTGATATCCTTTGTCTACAAGAAACGCATACCTACTCCTCAAACATAACCGATCGCTTACAACTACAATTACAACCTACTCAAGCCTTTTGGACTGATTATGTAGGCATTATCTCTTTTTCCCCAAAGTTCCAATTGACTTTACTAGATACTTCAGCATGGTATTCATCCCATCGATTCCAGCTTTGTAAAGTTACCCATCCTCAACAGTTTTTTACACCTGTTTATATACTGAATCTCTATGCACCCGCTTCATCCCCACCGAATCGACGTTCTTTCTTTTCTGACTTGACTAAATTACTACACAATATGAATACAACCATCCAATTAGACAGATTGATTATTTCAGGAGACTTTAACTATTCACATCTCCGTGAAAATGGCTTAACCTCTGCCACATCTAACATTTGGGAAGCACTGCTTACCGAATCCTTTTTCAATAGTATGATACTTAACAATATGGACAGCCTACCCACTTTTCAACGGCAACACGGACCGACATCGGTCGTCACATCTGTCATTGATTATATCTATCTGGGCGAAAGCCTTAGACACGGTATTTACGACAACGCTAATATAAGAATTGACCCTCGATGGTCTGACCATTCGATTTTGTCCATCCAGTTACGGGTAGGCAAATCCGAACTAGGTCCTGGAATGCTTCGGGCGAACCCATTTTTATTAAGACAAGACAAATTCAAACAACATCTCACCCATCGATTAGAGCGTCTCGTGGAATCGTTTGACTCACGAATTACGTCTCAAGACCAGTGGGAACAAATAAAGCAAATTACAAAAGAAACAGCCAAAACGTATGGAAGGAAAATCTCTTGTTGGCGACAAAAAACTCTAACTCAACTCGAAAAACAACGCAACCGCCTGTTACGGTCCAAACCACCTGCGTCCGTTCTTACAGAAAAATTACCTTCGCTGATGGGCAAAATTTATAAACTACAACAGGAGCTCACAGATATAGCAGCTTTAAAATCCGGCGTTCGATGGAGGGAACAGGGCGAGAAATCAGCCTCATACTTGAAAAGATTACATCAACAACGAAGCACACAACAATACATGGCCGGCATCCGCCGAGAAACAACCAATGAAGCTAATGACGTGATCACAGATCAACAGGGTATGCAACAGCTTGTCAAAGAATTTTATCAAAGATTGTACACCGCCCAGCCAGTTGCACCTGAATCTATTCGGGCATATTTAGATAGTATCCACTTCCCAACTAAAGTAGAATCATTCGAATCTGAGAACTTAATAACGTCCGTTACAATCGATGACTTACGCCAGTTGGCCAAGCGGTCTCCTACCCAGAGTAGCCCTGGAAATGACGGACTAGGATATCCCTACTTAGCATTTTTATTCAGCCTTCCTTTTCTTCAGTCAATTATCGTCAAGGTATACAATTATGCTTTAAGTGATGGGATCTTTCCTAGCTCATGGAAAGATATACGGGTCCGCCTTTTGCCCAAGAAAGGTGACTTAACGTCTTTGAAGAACTGGCGTCCCATTTCTTTGATTAATTGCGACGGGAAAATCTTTACGCGCCTCCTCACACAACGCTTGGCTCCCATTATGACTAGAATCATCAACCCATATCAGAAAGGTTTTCTTCAAAACCGTTTCATAGGTGAGAATGGATTGATAGTACATCTAATTTTACAACAAGCGCGACAGTTCAGATCAGAAGGAATAGGCCTCTTGTTAGATCAAGAAAAGGCCTATGATCGTGTTCACCCCAGCTACTTGGAACAAGTTATGAAGCGCTTCGGTTTCCCTGCCAAGTTAATTACTAGCGTTCAACAACTCTTCTTTGGCAATGCTGTTCAAATCAACACCAACGGGTTTTTCACCGATGATATTGCCCAGACCCGGGGACTGAGACAAGGAGATCCATTATCCCCTCTCCTTTTTAACCTCGTTCTTGAACCACTGCTTCTGTCTATCCAACAGGATCAATCATTTCAGGGTTATTACTCGCATGTTCAAGGATCACCACAGCGAATCAAATATCTCGCTTATGCAGACGACGTCTGCGCATTTGTTAAAGATGCGAATGATTTTCAACTGTTAAATCAGCACCTTCAACGCTACGCAGAAGTTTCTAACGCTCAGTTCAACCAACACAAGACGGAAGCCTTTTCTCTATCAGGGGATAAATCCATGTCTTGGACATCCTTATTGCAGCCGCATAATATCTCTGTTTTCTATACTAAGTTCTCTCCTTCTCCTCTCCAGTATTTAGGCTTCTATTTACCTTATACGATTCACCAACGAAATTATGTTCAAGATATATTATTAGAATTTGTTCAAAAGCAAGTGGCACTTTATTCACCGAGACAATTATCATTACGCGGTCGGGTAACGATAATGAATACACTTATATTGTCCAAAGTTTGTTACTGTCTTCGTATATTCCATCCTACCAAAACCTTTATCAAAGCCTTACAGAAACTTAGCTATCAGTTTGTATGGCGGAAAAAATTCCCATTAGTTTCCTATGCTCGACTTCTTATGCCCAGACACTTAGGAGGAGTTGGTCTGTTAAATGTTGCATCGCAACATTTAATCCTGCAAATGAAATGGTTAATAATGTTATTCTCACCACAGCCTTCCCTAGTTCAAGTACTCCTTCGCCATCATTTCCGGTTGATGGGCATCACATTTACTAGTCCCATACTTCCTTTCTTTTGCGCTATTCATCGAACTCCTCATCTTTGTCATCCAACCTCGGTAATACCGATTATGTTCACAGCGTTTGATCATTTGAATGTTACCCTCCCATTGGAGGATATTCCACTCAAGAGCTTATTACTCTTCCCATTGCATTCTTTGTTTACACGCTTACCAGAGTCGCACTGGCTAGAACGCCATCCCAAGATGCTTGCCAACGCCTTTTTCCGCTACGACCAGTCCACGAACCGCCTCATAATGAAACGACCAGGTGAATATAATGTGAAACCGCGGTTGCTTTCACATCTTTTGGGCCGATTACTCACCGATGCTACAGTTCAACTTCACCCGTATATCCACAGGGTGCCGGCAGGCTCTTCTATCACTACCGACGACCCAGATAAGTCATTGGAAATTGCACTACTACAACGATTGGCCAACAGTAACCTTTGGCGTCATTATTCGGCTTCAACGTTTAGACTTCATCATCACATCCAAATGCAACAAGCATCAGGTATCGGGGTGATCCCCAAACGGATGTTCATCCTGTTCTGGTCCCTTCCTTTGTTTCTTCCGGCTCGTGCCCTAGGCTATCGCACCATTTTGAAAAATTACCATGCTTATCAGTCTTACAAGCCGCAGGGGTAGTTTCATCTGCTACCTGCCGACTTTGTAATCATGATATTGATACGTTCGAACATTTTACAACCAGTTGTCCACCACGCTGGCAGATATGGCAAGAAGACCTCGCGGTATATTTCCCATCCTTCGACTTTGATCCTCAAAGCATCTCCGCCGCCCTAAGATTACACTCGCCACCATCACTACCTTCGTCCGAGCAATCTCGATTTTTCACCGTCTGCTTCAGTATCCATTGGGCTATCTGGACGTCATTCTTTCGAATGATATTCCATGATATTCCTTTTCATCCCCCATCCGTCTCTAGTAAAGCATACAACATAATTTCTTTGAGCCTGTCTTCCTCGCAGCTCATGCGGGAAGCGGCTGCTTTCGACTAATTTACTTGTCATAGAAATCTTCTTTTCCTCTCCATGTCCCACCCCTCAGCGATGTGTGACTAATTTATAAAATAATCTACAAAAAAAAAGAAAAAAGGAAAAAAAAACCGTACTATTCCTCACCTGTAATGATCTAAATCCTTCAATATAAGGAAAACCGTGTTTATTACGGCGATACTTTCTTCTTCTTCGCTGGCTTTAAAACGTCGGGTCTTCCCGCTCCAGACCAAACTGCTTGAGTTATAGTCATCATATTGATAGCGGCGTTAATGTCTCTCTGCCATAGCCTAGACATTGCTTGCAATGAAGAACGCCGGTACCCTTGAATCCAGGAGTATCAACAAATTGCATATCATCATAGAAACAGAGGCTGCATGTTTTAGAGGTTTTGAATTCATCGATTGTGACAACAATCAATTGACCTTCAGCTTCACGTTTCTTCAGAGTTGCAAAAAGTTTACCGACAACACCGCATCTTTGCCCTTTCAGCTTGACTACATCTTTTCCAAACATTCCAGCACCAAACACGATCAGTGGTACCCTTCTAGGAAATCCTGAGTACTTATCAGCCTTCCACTTCTTGTCACTTCTAAAAATTATCAATCAGTGCGTAAGCTAAACGATGAACATGTAATTCATTGAAACTCACTTGGATGGCTGCTGTTCGTTGACATTCTTTCCTTTCTTTTTCTTCTTCTTCTTTGCCTTGCTTCTTTTCTTGCGATTGTATTTGGATGTCCCATGCGTCAATATATTAGCCATTGTTTCCGGTGCTCTTTGTCTACCTTGGTACAACATAAACCGGTCCTTTGCAGTTCCGGGTCCATAAAAAGCCAAAAGAGCGTCCAGGTTATTGAGCGTATAGGCAGTGTATAGCTCGTATATTTCCAAACGAGAGGTTTTTGGCGAGGGTATCTGACTTTATATGAGATCTATGCCTGTAACGGCCTTCTTTCTGTTTAACTTGGTACTGTATTGGGTCGACCCTGTCATATGATAGTATTCAGATTTAGTGCATCTTCGCACTTGTCTGTTATATTCAAGGCCAACAGCAGCAGTGAAAACAGACTTTCTTCGGGGATCCAGGGTAATAGGTAAATAAGTATTGTCAACTTCATCCAGAGAGAAATCATCAAGAGTGAGGTCAAATCTTTGGAACGAGGCACCATGGCCAGATTGTTGTCTTTTATAAAAAAGAAAGTCAACTGAAAACCCATCTGTTCTGACAATATTACCAAAGGGCTCTTTGTTATCACCATTTGGTGTTAGTTCAAAGATACTACTTTGCCTAAATTAAAATTCATATATTATACTCGACTGTATACCGTATCAACTGTATGCTTACCTTTTGTACCGGAGTTTCTTGAAATCAAAGACATTGAAAAACAGCTCTAATTGGCTTTGGTAATTGCGGGGTAAAGAACGTTTCACAAAAGAAGACAGAGCGTTCACGCTCAAGGTAATGAACCTCCATTGAACGGAAACCTTTGGCAGTAAGGATAACAATTTTGGAAGAGGACGTCGTCGTACGTCAAATGGTTTATGATCATCGTGTTCCCTCTCAAATTCTGCGTTCAAAGATAACAAAAAGGGTACGAAAGACCCAGGATCAGCAGATAATGTCTTCATGTTCACTTTCTTCCCCAGCTTCTTCTTCCAAGGTTCACAAAAGGTTTGGATCTTTGCTTTTATATCTTTGGTAAGGTAGTCATCAGTTGGCCATTTAGGTTTTCCTTGGCATATCTCTTGATAGCAGAAATCACTTGTGACCTTTTTGACAAGCTTCCAAGGCATACACTACGCAAGATGAGAGCTTTTTTTTTAAAATTCATGTAAGACCCCAAGTAATATTGAGTGGCAACTTACCACAAATGCCGTTTGTATTTTATATATCAAAAAATAGAGAAGTTTCTCCTCAAAATTTTCCACTATACTGTTCGTATAGGAAGTAGCAATTTCGGTGCATGCTTCTGTAATGGCTTGACTAAGTCCAGGAAAGAGCTTGACAGGGAAGACAATCTTAGGGTAAGTCGTTTTAAAAGAATCAAACGAGCTCAGTAATTGTTGTGATATCAGCCTACTATTTTTTGGTCTTTGTCCATTCACTAGCTGTATCATAGAGTACCAGAAATTTTGTGTAAAGATACATTTAATACACTTTGGCTCAGCAAGAGTGGCATTTTTCGAGACGTAATAATTCACGAAGAGTTTGGCTCTAAGAACCAAGTTTCGGATAACAGAACAAGCTTCAACAACTTTTGACTTGAATGTGTTGCGATAGTCACCAAAAACGCAGTTATCAAGAGGCAACCTTCTTGTAAACGCCTTGTAATTACTTCCCAAATGATGTTGAAAGACCTCTGCCTTTAATAATACATGTTGAGGACACAGAGGAGAACGCACCGCTTTATGTCCTGGTTGCTTGCATTTGGTACAACACGCATTGTCTTCATCTGGGTCTTCATCTTTTTCTTTCCTTGCTTTTTTCTTTTCTTTCTTGATTTCAAAGTTCTGTTTGCGTTTTCTGCCTTTCGAACCAACTATAGGTACAATGAGGTCGCTTACTAATGATGACTTTACCAACTTTCAAAGCCACCTGAGCTGCTGACCTTGATCTGCAGTTTCTGTCTCATACAATTGACATTTAAAGTATTGTTGGGTGTAATGACCCCCTTTACCGCAATCAATACACGTTACATCTAACAGTACACGATGATTAATCTATACGTATATATATGATCAGGTAGATAGGCTTTTTTCTTTTCATAAATTATTGTTTTGAACATGGGTCATAGTATGTATCTTAAAACGTGAAATAAAAGTGAAAGAGACAACATTTGACTATAAGAGAACAATATATTTTATAGTGCTTTTCTTTGAAAGTCACCCATGAACGCATATAAAAAACATTGACGACAGATAATATAACCATCCCGTTCCGCTATGGTATCTGTTATACTATGTCCTTCAGCCCTCTATCAATGGTTTGATGTCAATCAATTCAAAGTTGACCTTTTTTGGAACTCAGGCACCGACGAATATCGGTTGGTCTCGGAATACATCGTCATTCAATAAAGTTGTCAATCCTATTGCAAGATAACGTCAATAAAACCATTATTGGGACTTTTTTACTGATAGAGACTCATTTCTAGGGTTCGATTGTATGTCATCCTTAATGCTGCTTGGATATCACTGAATAATTGAGTATCCAAATTCGATATCCAAAATACTATAAACTTTTCTAAAAATATTTTTTAATAAATCTAAATTTAAAATGTATATTGTCCATTAAAAATTGTAAATCGTCTAAAATAGAAGGTAAAATACATTATTGACGCGGTCCAAAATTTAATTGGCAAGCGTCTTTGAAGATCACGTTGCTGGCTTCTCTGCTCGTTTCTTCCCAACAAACCTTGAAGTAAAAACAATTTGAGCACATACTTTTTCATTGAAAATCAACAAAGCAATGATGCGTTGAAGGGGGTAGTAGAACCTTTTCATTTAGAGATGTTAGCGACGTTACAAAAGTAATAACAAGCTCAGTTATCTGAGCCCTCAAAAAACAAGAGTGACGACACGATGAAGGCTTTGGACAAAGTTGGTTTAATGACGAACGATGGAAACACTTTTTACGATTAAAAGAAGAACGTACATAGTCTCTCCAGTTTTGTTCCTTCATTTACGGAAACTGTGATAGCTTCTACGGTTACGTACTGGACAGCAACGGCTAAAAGATGAAAAATTGAACCATATCGGATAAGCAAAGAAATAAAGACAAGCAATAAATTGGAGTGTACAGCAGGAACATACAGAATCTATAATCAATTCATATGATCAGAATGCTCAGATACGCATTGCGAATGTTGTTGAAAGTTTGATAAAAAGGCTGTAGCTGCCCAGGACGGACAGCAATCCCCAGATAGAGAGACAATGGCGGTCTTTTTGATGTCAACTTTGGCATTACTGGCGTCTCCGTACATAGTCAACAGTTGTTCCAATATGGGCCATTCATCAGGTGAGGCCAGAAAAACTTTCAAATCATCAGCGTAGCTTAGTAATTTGAAAACCGGTGGATGGTACCATTGGATGGGGCTGTCATCTGCTCCAGTATCCGGATGCCGAACGATTGGAGGATTGGCCATTAAAGAGATTTGTGATGAGAAAGGTGACAGTGATACTCCCTTAAGAGAAGAGACCAAAATTGTACGTAGAAATGGCTTGAACATCAAATTGAAGAACAGAGGTGATAAAGGATCTCCTTGGCATAGTCCACGACCTCGTCATAAAGGCTTTCCCAGATAACCATTAATTGAAACAGAGATGGCCGTTGAGAAAAATAAGGACATTAGTGCTGAGATAAGATGAGGAGGAAAGTTGAGCCGTGACAATGGTCTCCAAATACTCAGAGAGGTATGGTCACCCTTCTTGAACAGCAACACCATCCTAGTTAGTTTCCAAGATAAAGGAATATCACCATGTAAGGCCTCATTCAAAACGGTTAAGAATAAAAGTTTAGCTTTGGGAAACTTGTTGATCAAGAATTTGTAAAGTTCGAAAGGCAAACCGTCCAAGCCAGGACTCTTTTGGTTGGGAGTATGATTCACTACGTCTAGCAATTCACCGGTAGTAAAATCAGCACCCACAGTATGTGAAGCCTGTTCCTGTAAGATCACATTGTCTGGTATATTGGCTAAAAGAGTGTTCATTGCTGCTAAATTGTACGGTTGCCACGGAGCGATACCGTGTTAAAGTAGTTGCCCACAACCGGTCCAATCTGATCGATAACTAATTTAAAAGCTTCAGATTGATGTTCAAACAATCAGCTAGGTAAGCTAAGTATAACAGCTCCTGGCATGAGAGCGGTCTGTACAATGGATTGTATACGCTGAGAACGGTGGTATTCAGCGACCTCAGGGTCTTCGAAAATAGTTTCGACAGTGTACAACTTTTTTTTCCTGAAATATCGAATTGACTTTGAGAAAGAGGAACTTTAGTTTTTAAACCTTTGGTCACGATGGTTGACCAGTTAGTCCCATGTTTGGTTTGTGAATCGATCGTCATGGGTTGACCGATGACCAGAGATCTTGAATAAAAATGTAGTTGTTGTTTGTGAATGCTACAATCTGATTGGTCAGTTCAATAAAGGTACTGAATAGACGAAAGAAAGGCCTCAAGGCTCTGTCGCATTTGAGGCACGATGGCAATATATTTATATGAGTAAATCACTCAAAACGTCTAACGGAATGTAAAAAATAAAACTATGATCATCAGATATGAGTACTGCTCATACATTCATTTTCGTTTGGTAAGCGGTGTGTTCGATTGCATACGTTCTAAGTCTAGATCAAATATATAATAAATAAAAGAATACAGATTAAGGATAACAGGTTATCTTTATGAAATGCATTTTACTTAGATTATCTATGTCTATATGACGTTTAGGTATATAGCAGGATTAGTATATGTACTCGTAGGATATATTGATTCAACAACCAGAACATAGTAGTTCACGGTACTGCTCCTGCTCTGGAAATAAAGTATGGTTGGAGATAAAAAGGCTCAATCACTCCTTATTAATATAACAACTGTTATCGCAATCAAAAGAATACGACGGACGAATATTTCTTCCTAGCTAACATCTATAATCACTTCCACAATATTTGAGCTATACAACTGGTGGCCAATAAAAATTGGATTATAGTGGTAGCTGCATGACCACCTTGGATCTGCCAGGATAGCACATTACAAATTAATCCGCTCTGGGATGAAGGAGTAATTATCCACTTAGGGAAGACCTATTCTTTTATGGAAACCTCTGACACACTGAGTATTATCTGACCATGATACATTAGTGTCGGTTATAGATCCCAATACACTAATTTCGTAGACAGCAAACAGTATGACTCTTTTGATAATAGCAGCAATTCTAGTTTTCTTCTTCTTTTTCACTAGTTTGTTTTTGAAAGAGAACTAAAGAGGTGGTTTGATTTCGTTAAGCTTTCGTGTTTTGTTTTCGCTTGTGTTATTCATTATCTTTTACCTAATGCGGATGTTCGATGCTAACCTTACATGTCAAAAATGAACTTGAAACCGAAATATAGCCATTTTGAATTTACCCAGAGATGTAAGAAAAGTGGTCCATGGTGATTAAATGAGAGAGGAATATTTTGAGACAACCTCATTAATATATGGTGGAATTTGGTTCATACACGTGTAAAAACTGATTTTGCCGCTTCAAGGACAATGGTCATAGATCTATCACAAATTCTGGCCAACCAAAACATTTAATCATGATGTTATTATTTAATTCATGTAACAGTCGACGTAAGCAGTGTCTGTTTCCTCCTTAAACATAATTGTAGATGTGCAATGCAGTTGTTACGTCTTCTGACATTTAGAGGGCTATCTGATGATTGAGTTAGTTATTAAAACAATTTCTTGACTTTCAAATCTAAGTGCAACCACGCGTCGGCTTTGCTCCTCTTCTCTCTCGATGCGTTTATACAGCTCAATTCATTTATACAATCAGATGCTCATATATAGCCGAATCCTTGGCTGATAAATATGAGATACACTTTGGACATTCCTGGGAGAGGGGCTAACATTACGTCTAAACGGTAATGAATTGAACGAATATTTATTATACACTACGCATCTCTAATCTACTATATGTACTTACTAAACCATCTTTTGATGTTCTCACGTTTTTTCACAAAGGATAAAGTTGGTACTGTGACAAGGCGATCCTTTCTTACAATTATTTCATCATTTCAGACATATAACACACTCAACTCTAACTTTTGACACTGCACCTCATATGTAAGTATTACAGCATTTCTTATATTTTTTTTCTTTGTGCCTCTTTACGTATTAATAATGAATACCTTTACCATATTTCATTGATCTGTCTCGAAATTGGTCTCATAGTTCATATACTCTATCAGTATATTATGACATGACAAAATGTAGATTTTCGGAATTATGGTCAAATTGTTGTGGACCATTTTTGTTATCAAAAAGGAAATTATAAGCTGTTTTCTGCTCTGAATGTATCCCAGGCTTGGTTAAAGTCGTGAAGATGCCGCTTGCTAACAACGCTGTCAACAGTTGCAGTAGCAGGAAGCTGCCAAAGAAAAAAAAAAGAGTACATGTCGTTTAGGTATGGCTAAAGTTGTACTCATATCAATCGATAGGTGTTTCTTACCTTATCAGGGTGTACTTGAGCAATAGCTTTCATATACGTTATTTTACATTTTCTAGCTTCAATTAAATCTAACATAGTTACATTTTTCCATTGTACATCTGACCATAGAATCATATCCAAAGAACTTAACAATGCTCGTAGATTCTTTTCTTTGCCTGCTTTCCAAATAGTAATCTGTGAATTCACTTTGTCTTCCTTTTCTAATCGTCCCGCTTCTTCTGCTTCCTTATGCTTTTCTCTATCACGCATTGCTTTTACGGCCTTGCTATTATTGATTTCCTCCAATCCAGCGTCTGTTAAATGGGCTTTTTTGGGTGGCATAAACATATTAAAGTCAATATCAGAAAATGTAGTTGCACTGCTATTCGTACTGTTCTGGTTAGCTATCGTTGATGAGGATGGGATGGTTCCCATTTAGGATTATTTGCTGACGATCCATTTTGCATCGCTTGCTGACATCGCTTGATACCCTGTACAACAAGTGGGTTTTCTTCACCATTTATCCTTATATATTCCTCATACACTGGAAAGCTGTTTCGAAAAATGCAGACGTTCCAACGCACATGCTTTTCTGTGCAAAGATTTTAGCAATTGTGATTTCATGTTTGTATTCGTAGCGCTCATGATTTTGCTTGGTGAGGTGTTACTGTTGATATGTTTATGAGCTAGATCGCTAGCGTACAATCCACTAAACAATCTTAGAATTGGCCTTGCTTGAGTCGGGCAGCAGCGCGGTTGTTGAAGAGCAAGACACTATCACTATGATCCGCCAGTAGGGTTTGTATTGCAAGCGTGTAGGAAGCTTACGCTTCATCTAACTGTTCATGGTTGAACAAATAATTGCCTTCTTTTCTTTCTTTATCCGCATAATCTGTAAGGGGATCCGTCTGAGGCGGTGGTGGAGGCGTACTGACGTGAAAGGAGGATGATGTAGTAGAGTGGGGAGACGTGTGGCGGATGTGGGCTGAGGCTGTGCATGAGGAGGAGGAATGGGAAATGAGAAAGCTAATATAGAGTGTATCATGTTGTTTAACATTCTAATGGTCATTATTGCTCCTGTTGCCAGAATTAGGTGTGGGTGGAATCGGTTTATTCCGTCTAATTTGCGCTAAATAATCTTTTCTGCGCTTTTCACGCTCTTTTCTCCATTGCTCTTCTTGCGCCCTAAGCACTGCTGGGCCTTCCTCCTCGTCTGAAGAGACACCAGCGCTGTGTGGATCATTCTGTGCAGGTGTCAAATGTTCATTCACTTAGCTTTTCCTTTTTATGGCGTCGGTGTGGTCGTGTTTTGAAGTAACGTGTCCAATATCTCCTGAAAATTTCTTTTTTCGCTCGCTATCATCGCTACTTTAATAGCCTCTAGATCAAATCCCATATCTACCAATTGTGCAAAAACTTCATATCCGTTGATGTTCCATTTGGCTGTACTGAAGTTGAGCTTGTTGTCTAAATCCCAAGGGTACGAGGAAAGGTATCTCTAAATTATAACTAGCAATAAAGAAAAGATTCTAGGATTTCAACTTACTTACATTTGTATAGTTTGATCTTCCAGGAATACCATTCTTGGAAGAGCTAGCATGAAGATATTCTTCCTGGGGAAGAAAAGAAAATATTTAATCAGATTTATTCCTTGGCATTTTCAACCTAACAATTCTTCTTACCTTCGATAGAGGTACTTTAGATCCAACATTATTCAACCATTTCGAGCTTCAGTTAGTTGTGAGGTCATTAGTTAGTTAAAAATAACATGCTTAACGCTTTCTGAATACCTTATAGGTGAAGTCAGACGCACTGAAGGATATTCTTTTGATTAAAAATCAAATGCACCACTCGCCGCATCTTTATAAAGAGGGGATGAAGGTGAGGATGGTAGAGAACTATTATAATTTGTACGCAGTTGAGCTTTCGTTGTAGAGTAGGGTTGTTGCGTAGATGGTAATGCTGATGATGATGGCACGCGGTTGATTCTCGGTTGTTGTAACTGTGTAAAGGTTGACTAGAAGTAAACCGTGGTATCGAGTTAAGCTCTCTTCTTATATACATAACCTGAGGTGTTGTGAAAACAGGTACAGTTGCTTCACTTTCTTCGCGTGTCGCATACCGTCTCTGTTGCTTCTTTGACGGTTGCTGCTGCTGTTGGTGATCGGGGAGGTATATCGATTGAATTGGTGTTTATCATTAAATGAACTAGGCGATTGAGGGTTAACGTAACTGTTCACATTGATATTTCCAGATGAATATTGTGCAAAACTGTTTCCCCCTTCTTTATTAGGCATTGCGGTATCTTAGACCTTCCCAAGGAGAATGGAAAAGGAATGAGGAAAAAGAGGCATAATGACGAAGACAAAAGAATGTTATTCCCCAAAGAGACATCTGAGCTTGAATGGAAAGCGTTTGCTATGAGCTTGACCCATCTGTTAGAATCCAAACCCAACGGCTCAATGTATAAATGATACGCCAACCAAAAAGAAGAGTAAAGTCTATATAATTGTTATTTTCATCTTCTAAGAACTGCACACATGTGGTTCTTTCTTTCTTTTTCTATTCTTTTTTAGATAAGCACGCTATTTTTTTTTATAGGGCTTCACCTTTCACCAAAATCTTTTTGACCAATTTATGTGAACTTAGAGACCTTTTAAAAGATATTACAAACTAGACTTTTTTTTTTCTTTACTTTACCTATTTCTTTGTTTGGACAAACCATTCCATCTTATATCCCTTCCTCTTCATTTATCATGCGCATGAAGTACTTTTAAGCTTACTTCCAGCCATAGCCACCCTTGTGGTAACCTTTTTTAGAATCCTCCTTGCCATAGTGACCGTAGTGTTTCTTTTTTGTTATAGGACCCGGACGTTTGGCCCTTACGGGAAAAAAAAATTTATATTTTGTAACATAAATTTATTTCCTTAATATATAAAATATTTTAATTATGATGTCAAATTATACCCAAGAATCATACTGTAGATAATCACCATATCCATTTGCACAATGAGTAACATTGTGTTGTATCCAACACCAGATTACGCGTAGATTATTACATAATGCTAAAGAAGAGCTTATAATGATTGGTTTAATCTTGAGTGATAGTTTTGTCAGAACAATTCTTATCGATTCCGGAAGAACATTTCATCTGTATATACATCCGAGACAACATCATATGAGTAATTGACTTGATTTAGAAATAAGATAATATAGTATTTGAGTTTGTACAAATTAGATAACTTTATTTTGCAGATCAAACAATATACATATATCTTATCTATTTAAGCTATTATCTTCTAACTTGTTGATCCTTACTTTAACTCTTTACAGTCTGACAAGATTCATAAGGCTGAAACGTAGACATCGGCAGAATGAATAGTTTATCCTGTCTGTCTCGTCAGTTATAATGAAAATGCTGAAGTACGGGTCAAAGGAACTTTCAGTTAGGTCAATTCACTTAACTCCTGTTACTGATCCAATCGGTCAAGGCACCGCTCTGTCGATTAGCCGTACAATAGCAATTAGTTATGTCTTTTCTTCTATCATTAGGTCATCCTCTATTCAAGGGTCCCGATAGAAAAAGTTTTCTACAATATCCACAAATATAAATAGAAGTACTTTTTTCCTACATGGTTCTTGTCTACATTCTTTATCTGAATATTCTATTAATAAAAGAAGATAACTTGGTCTTCACAGATTTCCTTTTTGTTTCCTTTCTATTGTGATTTAATTCTACCTTATACAACACATTGGGACTGTTGAATAACAATAGCATGCATAACCTGATGTAGTTTGAATCCTACCAACCCTAGTATCAATAGGAACACCATTAGCTAACCCAAATGAAACTACATTTTGGTTTTTGAATACAGTAATAGTAACAACTATCTATACCCATTATTTCAAAAGCTACAAATATTCCAGGATTAGAAACATGGTCCATATTTCTATAAGAACCATTAGAATCATAACGAAGAGCTGGTAAATCTGTAGCTGTTGTTGTTACTGTATTTGTAGTCGTGGAAATTATTGGAATAGTTGTAGTAGAATGGCGAACATTTTTATTTTTTTATTTTTTAATATTTTTAAATAAGTTAATGAATAATATTTGCAACTAATTTGGAACTGTATATAACCATGTTAGAGCTTGTTGAAAATCACCATAACCATTAACACACCCTGTTGCAAGATTATCAGGTAAGGTTGCAAAACAAAAACATACATAACCACCGGCAACATTAAGAGTGGGACTTGACATAGTTACATTATTACTTAATGCAAAATACCATGGATACGTGTTTCGGAAATTACTAGATCCCAAACAATCATAATAACATTCATTAGGTGTTATCACTACATTGTTTCTAAGATTTAAAATTCTAGCAAATGTTTTGGGCCCTTGAGCGTCTGAACTATAACAAGTACCACTATTTCGATTATAACGTGGGACAGGGAGAGATGTTACAATGGCTGTTGTGGTTACTGTTGTTGATGTAATTATTGTAGTAGTATCTGTTGTAGTAGTAGGTACTATTTCTGTGGTGGTTGTAGGAATGACCACTTCCGATGTAGTGGTAATAGGGACTACTTGCGTAGTGGTAGTAGGTACTATTTCTGTGGTGGTGGTAGGTATTATTTCTGTGGTGGTTGTAGGTACTATTTCTGTGGTGGTTGAAGGAATGACCACTTCCGATGTGATGGTGGTAGGTACTATTTCTGTGGTGGTTGTAGGAATGACCACTTCCGTTGTAGTGGTAATAGGGACTACTTGCGTAGTGGTAGTAGGTACTATTTCTGTGGTGGTGGTAGGTATTATTTCTGTGGTGGTTGTAGGTACTATTTCTGTGGTGGTTGTAGGAATGACCACTTCCGATGTAGTGGTAATAGGGACTACTTGCGTAGTGGTAGTAGGTACTATTTCTGTGGTGGTGGTAGGTATTATTTCTGTGGTGGTTGTAGGTACTATTTCTGTGGTGGTTGTAGGAATGACCACTTCCGATGTGATGGTGGTAGGTACTATTTCTGTGGTGGTTGTAGGAATGACCACTTCCGATGTAGTGGTAATAGGGACTACTTGCGTAGTGGTAGTAGGTACTATTTCTGTGGTGGTGGTAGGTATTATTTCTGTGGTGGTTGTAGGTACTATTTCTGTGGTGGTTGAAGGAATGACCACTTCCGATGTGATGGTGGTAGGTACTATTTCTGTGGTGGTTGTAGGAATGACCACTTCCGTTGTAGTGGTAATAGGGACTACTTGCGTAGTGGTAGTAGGTACTATTTCTGTGGTGGTGGTAGGTATTATTTCTGTGGTGGTTGTAGGTACTATTTCTGTGGTGGTTGTAGGAATGACCACTTCCGATGTAGTGGTAATAGGGACTACTTGCGTAGTGGTAGTAGGTACTATTTCTGTGGTGGTGGTAGGTATTATTTCTGTGGTGGTTGTAGGTACTATTTCTGTGGTGGTTGTAGGAATGACCACTTCCGATGTGATGGTGGTAGGTACTATTTCTGTGGTGGTTGTAGGAATGACCACTTCCGATGTAGTGGTAATAGGGACTACTTGCGTAGTGGTAGTAGGTACTATTTCTGTGGTGGTGGTAGGTATTATTTCTGTGGTGGTTGTAGGTACTATTTCTGTGGTGGTTGTAGGAATGACCACTTCCGATGTGATGGTGGTAGGTACTATTTCTGTGGTGGTTGTAGGAATGACCACTTCCGATGTAGTGGTAATAGGGACTACTTGCGTAGTGGTAGTAGGTACTATTTCTGTGGTGGTGGTAGGTACTATTTCTGTGGTGGTTGTAGGAATGACCACTTCCGATGTAGTGGTAATAGGGACTACTTGCGTAGTGGTAGTAGGTACTATTTCTGTGGTGGTGGTAGGTATTATTTCTGTGGTGGTTGTAGGTACTATTTCTGTGGTGGTTGTAGGAATGACCACTTCCGATGTGATGGTGGTAGGTACTATTTCTGTGGTGGTTGTAGGAATGACCACTTCCGTTGTAGTGGTAATAGGGACTACTTGCGTAGTGGTAGTAGGTACTATTTCTGTGGTGGTTGTAGGAATGACCACTTCCGATGTGATGGTGGTAGGTACTATTTCTGTGGTGGTTGTAGGAATGACCACTTCCGTTGTAGTGGTAATAGGGACTACTTGCGTAGTGGTAGTAGGTACTATTTCTGTGGTGGTGGTAGGTATTATTTCTGTGGTGGTTGTAGGAATGACCACTTCCGATGTGATGGTGGTAGGTACTATTTCTGTGGTGGTTGTAGGAATGACCACTTCCGATGTAGTGGTAATAGGGACTATTTGCGTAGTGGTAGTAGGTACTAATTCTGTGGTGGTAGTAGGAACTGACACTTCCTCAGTGGTGGTCACAGAGATTACTTGCGTGGTGGTTGTAGGAATGACCACTTCCGATGTAGTGATAATAGGGACTATTTGCGTAGTAGTAGCAGTAGAGGTAGTTGTCAACGTATTGGTACAATCATTGGCATTATGATCTGGATGAGGATTACATCCTTGGAAGGCGTCGCAGGTGCCGCCAATAGCGTGGTAATTGTGGATTTCAACACCGGCACTCAAGTTGAACCAAGTATAGTCCCTACCTACGACGGTACCAGCAAAGTTACCTGTAGAACCATCAATAATGTGGGCTACAAATAGAAGAGAGAATGGAGTTATTAGGCTTTTTTTTAAATTTTTCTTATTTTATACATGTCTCTTGCAAAAGATTGGCTTACCTTCAGGGGCCATGGTCAAACCACCCAACTGAGAAGTAGTGGCACGGTAAACGGTAATTTCACCATCACGCAGGTAGACGCCTCGGTCATCAACAGGATAAATGTTCCAAACGACTTGACAAGGATTAAGACTCTGAAGAGGATTATTGGCTCGAAGGGTGAGGGTGCCACGATTGATGACAGGAATCTATGTATTGTGGAAAAGGAGGCGTTAAAAGAGGCATATAGACGAATGGCATCAAATAGATCAACAGCGTTCTTTTACTGACATTAAAAACATAAGTCTTATTGGGATCAATAGGTAGGAAACCGTTCCAATTACCTGCGCCTAAAAGAATATTGGAAGGGTCTGATTCCGTATTGGGGTCAAGACTACATTGCATTCCCCCACATTGGCTAAAAGTGATAACCTCGTAGTCAGGATCGGTTCTGAATTGAGTAAATGCACCGTTAGGTTCGATGATAGCAGTAGGATCCATATAAGCATAACCTTCACTGTTATCTCGGGCAGCTTCTCGAACGGCAAAGAAATCGAAGTTGCCGGTGCCAAGTTGGTCAGTCACTTGACAGCTGGCTTCTGATTCTAAGATTTGGCCCAGGGTGCCACCGCCGGCGATCAAAGCGTTACCGTGGACTTGTGTATAGGAAGTAATGGTAGTTCCCCCGACAACGAGACCCATAGAATTGATGGAGGAAGGATGGGCAGCACAGTTAGAGCCGTGACTGGAGTTAACAACGTAACTGGGAGCTGTGAAATTGCCACCAACAGCGAGAGGGCCCATGATATCAGAACCACCACCCGTTCTGAAATTACCAAAGAAGATGCCATTGAAACGGCTGAACTGTAGAAGACATCATATTAATAGATGAAATGGCATTTCATGACAAATAGGATAACCTTTTTTCTTCTTCCTTCAATACTTACAGCGTCGTTATTTAATTCATAACCAGCACATGTACCAGGAGGTTGAGGTACGGGAGGAGGAGGGAAAGGACGATTACCAGGATCAATAGGATTAGGAGGAGGGAAAGGACGGTTACCAGGATCAATAGGGTTGGGAGGAGGGAAAGGATGTATATTATGACCATGATGGGAGTCATGATGATGATGAGGAGGGGGCATCACAACACGACCTCTTGCATGTACGCTTGTGACGACGAGCAACGCTGAGAGTGCAATAGATGTAAAGCGAACCATAGTAAAATGAAAGGATGTACTTTATTTCAATAAGTTAATATTTGAAGTTGATGAGCAAAATATTCGTCATAGTCGAAAATAAATAGGCTCTATAAATGAAAAAGGGCCAACTTTCCGTAATAAGTGAAATCTTTGGTTTTTTTCTTCATGCTTTGGGGAAACATTCTTCCGATTTCAATCTTTGATTACTTATTTTGAAACGAACCGTATTCCACCCTTTGAGGCTTAAATCAACTTATCAGTAACGAAATGTTCAAGGAGCAAAAAGGATGAATAAGACTCTTTCTATATGATGGTGTATTGATTATGGACATCTTGCAAGCAAATAAACTAAAGATGCCCTCATAGGTTATCAAGTATTTCCTTAATGCCCGCTGGTCTGCGGGAAAATGTACAAAGACTTAGGTCCGGAAACATACTCAAATTTTGAAATTGAAAAATGTCTAGCGTATAAACGGACAATGGACAATATATGGGTCAGCAGGCGCTAAAGAGAATGGTATGGCTGTTCCCTTGTACTGATAAGCTATTCGTCATCTCATGCATTTTATTCAAGCCACAATATCCCGTTCCCGTCCATAATATTATTATGCATCTCAACATGAATAGATTGCTAAAGGTGACTCGAGAGTAAAGCGAACCTTCATTTTCTGTAAATCTTCCTACTTTTCGGTACATCAGAAAAAGATAGAATACTGCTGCAATAAATTTTACGATATGCTACTGTTCGATTCACGCACTTTTACAAGTTGGATGATTATCAAGACATTTTGATTGGCACTTTAATAGCATTTGAATATTTTCTGCCTTCTTGCAGTAACTATACGAGTAATACTTTTTTAGGTCAGCGTCAACCTTGAACAATGACATTCAATGCTACGGATGGGGGCTATTAATCCATTGGGCTGTTTTTAATGCTATCTAATCGAAGAGTGTATAAACTCACATAGCATAATCGACAATCCTACTTCTGAAAGCCGTCTACCCATTAGTAGCTTCAGTAATTTCGTCGTGGGCATGGTGTTGGGTTCACTGCGAAAATTTTGAGCACTCCTACTGTTTTATCCCCAGTAGTAGTAATTATAACACCATCAATTATAAAAGATTTAGCATATCTTTTACAAGGTTTATCAGCTTCCAAGCTGCCAAGGTAATTTTGTTGATCAATTAATTTAAACCAAACGAATTCTAACAACTTTTGAAAAGGGTCACTGATCACTTAACTGCATTCTCTTTCTTCTTTTGAGCAGACAAAATAACAACATAGATATCAAAAGCCAGTTTACGGATCAATTGTATGGACTTGCTACTTGAAGAAGTGGTGCCGTCAGTTAAAGGAACTGATTTACGATTTGTTTACTCGCTTATTCATAATCTATCCAATTACTTCTAATGGTTAGCTTTTCCCAGTATTTGTGGGGCCCCAACGAGTCTATAAACTGAGCTTTAAAAGTTCTTGTTGTATCCAACATCATATTACGCGTAGATTATTACATAATGTTAAATAAGAGACTACAGATACTTATAATGATTGGTTTAATCTTGAGTGATAGTTTTGTCAGAACAATTCTGATCGATCCCGGAAGAACATTTCATCTGTATGTATATCCGAGACAACATCATATGAGTAATTGGCTTGATTAAGATAATATAGTATTTGAGTTTGTATAAATTAGATAACTTTATTTTGCAGATCAAACAATATACATATATCTTATCTATTTAAGCTATTAGCTAACTCGTTGATCCACTACTTTAACTCTTTACAGTCTGACAAGATTCATAAGGCTGAAACGTAGACATCGGCAGAATTAAGGATTAGTTTATCCTGTCCGTCACACTAGTTATAATGAAACTGCTGAAGTACGGGTTAAAGGAACTTTCAGTCAGATCAACTCTTTTAACTGCTGTTACCGATCCAATCGGTCAAGGCACCGTTCTGTCGATTAGCCGTACAATACCAATTGGTTGTGTCTTTTCTTCTATCATTAGGTTATCTTCTGTTCAAGGGTCCCGATAGAAAAAGTTTTTTACAATATCCACAAATATAAATAGAAGTACTTTTTCCCTACATGGTTCTTGTCTTCATTCTTTATCTGAATATTCTATTAATAAAAGAAGATAACTTGGTCTTCACAGATTTCCTTTTTGTTTTCTTTCTATTGTGATTTAATTCTACCCTATACAACAATTGTGGAGGTAGTCCAAAGTAAGTTGGGCTTTGCCCGCTGCGCTAGCAAATCCCATATAAAGAGTAAGAGACAACCGCTAACCTATCCATATATGACCAACCGATCTTATCCAGAAAGTGGTAACTCATCCAAAAGTTTAATCGGTATAGTTTTTAAAAGCAACCACACTTCACCTGGTAGAAATTAGTTATAGATACATGGGTAACTACTAAGTTGTCTCTTACTCTTTATATGGGATTTGTCGTATTTGAGGGTAGATGATATACAAATATTAAAGATATAATTCACTTTATGAAGGATAAAGATGAATTATACAATATTGCAAACCAGAAATAATTAGAAACTGCATAAACTCTAATATATGAGTACCGTGAATTAAGTGTTGTGTTTAGTTGACAGCATCATATGAGATGTGGAGGACTTGTATACGAATTATATAAGATAATAGGCTGTGATCATCCTTTACAATAACTGTTCACTCAACTCAAACACCACGCACGAATACCATTTTCCTAATTAATACTATTTTCCTGCAAGCAGTGCTACATAATGGTTAGCAGGGGAAAATAGATTAGTTGCATGATCACTAGATCAAGCCATGGATACGTTTACAAGTCCACCCGCTCCGGGTAGATGCGTAATCTCCTCAAGGGAGAATTCTATTCTTTTACGGTTCAGAAGACGTACGTCTTCTTTGAGTAGAATAACTCAGCTGTCAGTTTCTAGGTTCCGCAATCTGAAGAAGATATTTAAATTTTTGCAGTAGATATTTTTCTTCTCTTTGAACTTAACTTGATTCAAAATAAAGACCTACTAATTTGATCTCGTTAAGCTTTTTATTGTTTTAACTAAGTGATATTTTACTCCCCAAGTCGTCAAATACCACAGGATTTGCTAGCGCAGCTGGCAAAGCCCAACCTACTTTCGGACTACCTCTTAAACAAATTACTTATTTTAAAAGATATAAAAGAGTGTTGTATCCAACAGCATATTACTCTTGGATTATTACTGATATATCTGTAAATCTTATCAATTAGAATTATAATAGGCTAAGTTAAGTAGCGAGACTATCGAAAAATGCTCATCCTTTTTATTTCAATTAACATTTGGGTCTCTTTTATATCTTTTGAAATAAGTAATTTGCTCAGAGGAAAGGGCATATCTGAGACCTTGTGAATAAGTATGGGACGGATACGGAAATATATGTATTGTTGTTTAGGTGAATAATTACATATATTTGGTTTAGGTGATTATGGAGACATCACAGAGGGTAAAAAGTAAAGATGAAATGTTTTATATACTGATATATCCAGTTACTTTAAAAGACTTATAAAAATAAAATAAAATAAGACAGTAAAATGACCAGACACAACAAAGATGCTCTTTATTCAAGTTTGTTGAGAATGATACTTTTATATGAGAAACGGGGTTATTAACGGGTATTCAACTATTAATACAACTGAACTAAAACTATCATGAGAATGATAAGATCTTAGCCGCAAGCGGGTGTCAAAGTAGATGTGTATCAGATTGTCAAGCAGGTACTGAAGTCGTTCTGTAG